AATACTTAAGCAATTTAAGACGTAGCGCCTCTAGGGGATGGCCACTTTAACCCACGCCTGCTAGGTCCGGGCAGCATTCCCGCCATTTCCACTACTACTGCTACTGGCCGCCTCCTCGGGAAATTAATATTTAGATTTAAGTAAAAGGTAGTGCCTAGGGGGGGCGGCGGCTACTAGTAGTAGTAGTAGTAGTAGTTGTTGTTGTTGTTGTTGTAGTTGTAGTAGTCCTACTATTAATGATGTTCATAATGCTAATAAGGCTATGATGCCACATGCTCTTGCGTTGGTAGGTTGGGTGCCGGATGTGTGAGCAAACTTGCTCAGGAGCTCGCGATGATGATGGAAAGCTTTCGCTCTTGCATCGCAGCTATGTTTTGGAGCCTTGTGCTGCTACTATTCCTGGTTTACATGAGCTGCTTGGCTTTACAGGGCTTGAATCGCGCTGCTCAATTGTGCTGATATGGTAGCTGCTGCTGCGGCTGCTGCTGCTGCTGCTTCTTCTGCTGCTTCGGGGATAAAAGGGAGCCTCTCTTGTCTCTGCTCGACCAAGGTGCGCTCCTCTTTTCACAGGGTGTTTCAGACGCTTTGACCGATGCGAGCATGGATGAGCTTGCGCAGCAGCAGGCCTGGCCCAGAGTTGCAGGGTGCAAAGCATAAGACGCGAATGACAAGCCTCCAGACTTGCTCGACCCTGAGCTCCCAAAACCGGCAGAACCCTTCCCTTCAAGACATTTCTGTGCTTGGTGCAGTTAAAGAATGATTCCTCAATTATCTGGCAAGTTTTTGGAAGAGGGTGCTCCTCACTATCACTATGTGGTAGTGCAAATCCAGCGCGGTGGTCCTTTGCTAAGGTCAGGGATCACTTCGGCTCTGTCATCCAGACGATGCTATCCTTGTACATGGCAGTCACTGGTGGCAATGACTGGTCTCTGTATTACCATCTTCTGGGTCACACTGGTGTGTACCAGTACTTGTTCTTGGGCTACACATTCTTTTTCGCATTTGCGATTTACAACATATTGACCGGAATCTTTGTAGAGCGGGCAGTGGCTGCAAACTTGCCAGACAGGGAGCAGCAGATTCTCCAGGAACGGAGGAAGCTTCTTGAACAGGCAGATGAGCTGCGATACCTTTTTTCCTGCCTGGACCTTGATGCGTCCGGTCTCATCTCAGTGGACGAGTTCTTGAAGTGCATGAAGAACCCTCGAATTGTGGCATACATGTCCAGCGTGGGCGTGAGTGTGCACGATGTGGAGTACCTCTTCCGGGTTGTTGCAAACGAAAACGAGGAAGTGGAAATCGATCGCTTTGTGGATGGCTGTATGGCCATAAAGGGCTCTGCCACAGCACTGGACATGCAAAAGCAGATGTATCACATACAGCAGCTGTCCTCAACTTTGAAGAGTTGGGAAGAGCTGTACTGGCCTGTGCTAATGCAGGCCATGTCCCAGTGTGGTCAAGCTGAAGGCGTGCGGATGAGCTTATGAGTGGACGACCCACGAGAAAGTATAGTTACATGCCATTGCAGAAGATGTGTTGTGGCATGATCACTGGTTTCACAGCAGGTGGCCAATGAGTGCCACTTGTGATAGATCCAGAGCAAAGCTCGGAGAACGTAGAAGAGGTCCCCCAGCTTGTGTGCTGCCTCTTTCCATGTCTTGCAAGTTGCTTGTTAGCGCCAGGGTGTCAGAGTCATGTTCTGAGCTAAAGTCTATTTTCCTTAAAGGAGAGCTTATATAGGGGGTTGTATGGGACTACTATAGGGGTTATGGAGTAGGATGCTAAGAGTTTAAGACTACAGCTCGTTTGTCGCAAGTCTAGTCGCAGGACCCGGTACTGGAGCTTCCAGACGGCTACTACCTTGCGTGCAGGTGTTCCGATCCTTGCTCGCAATCCAGGGATATCATTGGGGCTTAGGGGTTTAGGGTTTAGGGGTTTAGGGTTTAGGGTTATATTACCCCCAAATAATGGAAAATTAAATGGAAAAGAACATGGAAAATGACATGGAAACGGGGGTTAGAATGTAGTTTATTGGAGTTAGGGTTGAATCCAGAGGACATGCAGTTGTTGTACCTATTCATGTGAGCTATAGTCTCAACTCCTCAAAGGGGGTGATATAGGGGATTATATAGGATACTGCTACAAGGGGCTTTTAAGGGGGATACTAGGAGTTAAGACCATAGCTCATATGACTCAGATGATAGTTTCCAGAAATGAGGGACCCAAACACAAGCCCTAGAATGCTATAATCCTTACAATGGCGACTATAGGGACACCCAAGAATGGACCTCGAATTTGAGGAAACCCCGCATATACGTTTGGCCCAGCTGTCCAGATGTGTGGGACATGGGAGCTTGGGCTCAGCACGATTGGTGCAGGCATCATCATGTGTGATTGCTAACGTCGCAAAGCATCATGCTGAAAGATATCTTTCAATGGTGGTAAGTTCTGATAGCAACAACGTCATCACAAACAATATTTCATAGTCATTTTATTATTATTATTATGACTACTACTACTACTACTACTACTACTACTAGGGGATGCGCATGTTCGTTTACACGTCATTTTGACTTTCAAGCTGGTCTTCTTCGGTATGAGGAGGCGACGGTTTTACGAAAGTACCGCAAAGAGCAAACAAACTTCAGCATCATGGATGCGAAGCTAGAGGACTTCGAAGGGCCTTTTTCATTGGCGTTCACAGCAATTTTGATTCTCTCAAGACTCATTCGAAGTAATCAGGACGCAGAGAAGCCTGCATATGACAACTAACAGGGAGGCATGCTGCATAACTGCGCAGGATTTGGGAACCGTCGGACATGTGGTGAAAATCCCCGCCACACTTTTTAAGCATAATTTTGCCTTCAAGCAGAGAAACCGCTGGTATCTACAGTACCTCGTACATGTCGCATGATTTCTCAAGGTTTTTGCGGATTTCATGGTTCGAAACTTCGATTGTTGACTCCCTTTTTACCTGCAGAAAATCAATCTGTTTCAGGGTGGACACTGTCTTAAATACAGAGAACAGAACTGAGGGCGCTACAACTGCTGTTTCCCACACGCTGCGTTCGTTTGTCTTGTCCCACGCTTTTTGCGGGTAAACCTTTAACGGCTGCCACGCTGAAGTACCCAATACACGTCCATTCCCGAGAGCATACGAAAACCGGGGGATACTCGAAAGCATACGATTACCAGAGCATCCATGCCCAAACCATAATAACGTTTCCGACAGCATCCCATCCCCAAAGCATTGATGACCAAACCAGAAAAACGTCCATTCCTCAGAGCATACGAAAACCGGAGGCATGCCCAAACCAGATAATAACGTCCACGCCCAGCATCCGATTCCCAAAGGTTTTTGCCCAAACCAGAAAATAACGTCCATTCCCGAGAGCATCCCAAACGCAAAGCGGAGCATCCATGCTCAAGCCATGATAACGTCCATGTTCGAAAGCATGGGGTTACCATAGTATCTCAGCGCAAGGCACTCCTTCTAAACCTTGTGGCCAGTACAAGCACAGGACCTCTCTTGTGCATGAGACATACACCCGGCCGCCCGATATTGACTACTTGTGAGTGCCAAAGACTTCGGACCCCGGCCTCTGCTTCTTTATCTGTGATTGCCACAGTGGCCCCGTACATCGCATCAATGGCTGGAGGTAGATGGGTCCACTACACGTTTCCATTGCTTGAAATTTTTCTCGAAAACACAAGTAGTTTCCCCCTCGGATTTCCTAATTCAAAAATATTGCTTTTACCTCCGGACAGCAGAAAACCCTGCAAAATACAGCTTTTCGTAGCCCTGAATAAACACAACCGCCCACAACGAACCCACGTATACACACGAGCGCGTAGCCACCTAACTACTACTACTACTACTACTACTACTAGTACTAGTACTAGTACTAGTACTAGTACTAGTACTACTACGACGTCTTCTACTTCCTTCTACTTCTACTTCTCCTTCTACTTTTACTTCTACTTCTACTTCTACT